GATAGTTGTCGTACTGGTCAGCTCCCAATGAGAATACTGGAGTGAAGTAGGGTGTTGTTGAAGAAACCTGCTCAGTCAACCTTTCTACCTCCCGTATATGAGTTTTAAACATGTTAATTGGTAATGTTTAATTTTTGAAGCATTGTGCGTGGCTGTGTTCTTCTTTGAGTCTGTCCTTTAACACTAACACATCAGATTCAAAGTGAGCAGCAGGATACTGTAAACACTGGGTCAACGGGTGAGAAGCTGCGGCAGCTTTCTCCTGTTTATTGCGGGCAATAAGTCTGCAGGGAGGTTTTAAAACTCAGCACATTCTGCAGCCAGTGTCACTGCAGAAGGAACCTGTCGAGGTAAAAACTGCGTCTCTGTATCTGAAGTGCTGGTTAGGACTAATTTTCCTCATTTACAACATTCTACATAATTTCACTGTTTTTTCCCTACAATATATGAAATTGATTGACAATCAGAATCAGCAACAAATTGATCTAAAATATTTGAATCTGAAATCTATTACACACAATCTTTTTTTGTTATTATTGTTTACTAAAAAGGGTATTCAGTGATCATTTCCTGAGAATGCTCTTAAAATAATCATCTGCAATTAATAGTGAAACTCAGTCATTTAATCTTCGCAGCATTTAGTCATTGGTGTGATCCTAATTTTAACACTATTTCTGAGGAAACTTGGGCCAAATTTTATGGAAAATTTGAGAATTTCCGTCAGCTGTAAATTCAGGCTGTTTGACATAAACTCATGTTATAAAGTTCTGTTAAAAATGTGTTTTTCATCTGCTATTAAAACAGAAACTCAATAATTATTAATGGTCTTCTATGTCTATGATTAAATAATTTTCAAACTTCTTTCTAAAAGGGTATGACACAGTGTCTAATAATTACTGAGCTCTGTAGACAGCCAGGAGAAATTGCAACATCATAGATTGAATCAGATTTCTGCTGTTGTTTATGGCACCAAAAGTCACACTACCCTTAAACTCTTAAACTTAAAATTATTAATTAAGTTTTTTGTCAGCCATATGTGTTAAAATAATATTAATATAAATCCCCCATGAGGGGCTTATTACACTAAATAAACCTCTTTTTTTGCCGCAGATTGCAAAACACAGGTATAACTAATAACATTATTAACTGCTGCATTGAAATAATAATAGAGGGGCTAGGTTTGAATGTTGGGTTGGTGTTAGTGTGCTTGTTTGTTTCAAACTTAATTCCCACTGATACTGACATGCTGTTTGGGTATTCCCTGTGTCCAGATGAGGTGGTGTGTCGCTGTTGTCTTGGCAGTGCTGCAGCTCTGCAGCCCAGCGCTGCAGTCTGAGCCACTGCTCTACGTCTCCCAGCTGCAGGATGGGCAAGAAAAACCCAGCAGTGAGTCACATCATAATTGTCTGTCAAGTACACAATTAAATTTCAACATAAGGTATCTAACATTTTGCAAAGTAATGTTTTTAAGATTAGATTAATTAGGGTAATTATATTTTAAATTATACAGTACTGTGCAGAAGTTTATGGCAGGTGTGGAAACAATGCTGTAAAAAGTAAGAATGCTTTCAAAAATAGGCATGTTGATAGATGGTATTTAATTAAATTAACAAAATGCAAAGTGAGTGAACAGAAGAAAAATCTAACCCTAATCAGCATTTGGTGTGACCACCCGTTGCCTTGAAAACAGCATGAATTCACTGCACAAAGTTCTTGAAGAAACTCGGCAGGTAGGTTGGCCCAAACATCTAGGAGAACTCCCCACCATCACTTCCAGGACTTCTTGTTCTTCTTTAAGCTGAAGATTGATCTTAATGACCTTCGCTGTATGTTTGGGGTCATAAAGCAGAATAAATTTGAGCCAATCAGATGCCTCCCTGATGGTACTGCGTGATGGATAAGTATCTGCCTGTAGTTCTCAGCACTGAGCAGACCGTTCATTTTGACCAAATCATCAAATCCATTTTCAGAAATGCATCCCCCAACTTGCAAGGAACCTCCAGCATGCTTCACTGTGGGCTGCAGACATTAATTCTTGTACTACTCTCCAGCACTTCGGTCATATACGACCAGACAAATATTTCAAATTTTGACTCATCAGTCCAGAGCACCTTCTGCCATTTTACTGCACCCCAATTCCTGATTTTTTTTGTGCGTAGATGAGTTGGCCTTGTTTCCATGTCTTCCGATTGCGAAGGGAAGTAAGCATGATCTGTCTTTCATTTGCTGTAAGCTAAGTTTCTGTGGCTAACCACTCTGTCTACGGTCCTCAACGTTGCCCGTTTCTTTGTGCTTCTTCAAAAGAGCTTGGACAGCACATCTGGAAACCCCTGTCTGCTTTGAAATTGCTGACTGGGAGAGACCTTACTGATGGAGTATAACTACCTTGTGTCCTGTTGCTGTACTCTGTCTAGCCAAGGTGTCTGACTTTGTGCAAGTGTGCCTAAAATAATTGATACAGTTTTGAAGGCAAAGGGTGGTCACAGCAAACATTGATTTGATTTAGATTTTTCTTATGTTCACCCACTTTGCGTTTTGTTAATTGCTAAATATAATCAATAATCATGTCTATTTTGGAAAGCATTTCTATTTTAGAGCATTTTTCCACACATGCCTAAAAACTATGCACAATACTGCATATATTGTTTTGATCCTGTACTTTCTAATTTTTCCAAGTAAATGTACTCTCTCCTGAAAAACATAAACAAATTCTAGTTTATTTCTGCCTTGTCATGTAGAGCCATGGCTTAACCCCACACTGGAAGATATTGTCCCCTCCCGGGAAGTCATCAAGCCTCCTACACTGAGAGAGATCCCAGAAAGTGACACCACCTCACACTCCTTCCCCATGTTTGGTGAACACACCAACCTCAAGTGGGTCACGTGGAACGGCTCCCTCCCAAACGGTGCTCTCGCCATCTTCAACGGCTACACCGAGCGCACAGACTACGTGTGCAAAGTCAACTGCGAGGCCGGCTTCTATACTCCCAGCAAAGGCAACTTCTGCCAGTATCCGTACGCGGACAGAGAGTATGTGTCCTCCAAGTTTGAAGTGCTGGTCAATGTTGACCACTTTGAGTTCCTGCAGTGGGTTGAAGATTCGTACGGGGCAGTCCCCCAGTATGCCATCAAAACCTGCCCCAACTCGGACATCTATGTGGGCAAAAACAAGTACGGTCTTGGCAAAGTGGTGACCCAACACAAGGCCTTCTTCCTTCCCTGGGAGGGTGATGAGTACTGGTACAAGAGCTACCAGGTTCTCGCTATCAACAGAGAGAGCTACAGCCAGCACATCTCTCATGTGGAGTATGGCATTGACCAGATGGAGCTGTTCCACCATCCTCCAGAGGCCTTGCAGCTCTCCAAGGTCACCAACCTGGAGTGCAGAAATGTGGAGAAGACGGTAAAACTGGAGAAGACCAGTACAGTGGCGAAGACCTGGGACATTGGCAGAGAGACCCGCAATGGCTCCATCTCCACCATGAAGGCCAAAGTGCCCATCCTTAGCCCAGGCACGGTGGACTTCACCAAGGAGCAGACGGTGACCTTCTCAGAGGGAACCAGCATGGTGGAGTCCATCAGTCACTCCATCTCTGTGCAGCTGCTGGTCCCACCTAACCACTCCTGCTCTGTGAGGATGGACGGCAGGAAGATGACAGCTGACATCCCTTTCACTGGCAGACTGAGCAGGACCAACCACAATGGAGACACCCACTGGACGTACATCACGGGCACCTACGATGGCGTGACCATCGGCGAGATCAATTCTGTGGTGGAGAGATGTCAGCCGGTGACTGACCCCGTTCCCTGCTCCCCTGCTCAAGATAAAGATGATGACAAGCCTGTTGAAGCCTGATGTGGAAAAGTTGAGAAAATGTCAGTTTTTCAAATAAAACAGAATAAAAATGTCATGGAATTTCTAATTTTGTCTTCCTGTCTTCCTGTAACTAGTAAATTGGTAATTACCAGATTATTTATTTCACTAACTACTTGTCCAGTTACAAGGCTGTAAAGTACATTTGCTATAATAACTTTAAATATGTGGCAACAATATTTCACAACTACATTGACTGTTAAGTAAGAGTACACGTCTTTAGCATCTTTCAAAACCAGAGATTTAATAAAAGAATTATTAAATGGAATTGTGAATTTTAAATAAATAAAAACCTTTTAACCATTTGTTAAATCAATGGCTTTTGTTTGATTACTCTTTGATCACACAGTATTTTTTTTATTCCTTATAGTCGACTAAAAGTCCTTTATTATTCAGAAACAATGCAAACACTTTAACTTTTATAGCACTTTATAGTGGGGTTAAAAAGTGGGTTGTATTGATGTACTTAAATCGCTTAAATGACAAGAAAACCCTTGAGAAGCCTTTAATATTTAAGTGTATGTTGTACTCATTTGCTGCATTTAGTAAACAAAGAAGGCAGAATGAAGTTACCACTAACTAATGACTCGCTGGTTTTGGCCCTGGGGCCTCCAAGTGGCCCCTGGTTGGTTGAAAGAATGTTCATAAATGGTGATGGTCTTTGGGTGCCTTCACTTTGCAATCACTTTCTGTTGTACAGTGTGTCCTCCTCTCTCCCCATCCAATCACAGAATACACAGCATTCACAGTTTCACCGCGGTAGGCCCAAGTGTTTTCTGCTGAATGCAGCCACAGAAAAGACAAAACATTTATTTTTGCCCTTGTTGAGTAAAATAGACTGTATTTCTCAGCCATCAAGCAAGATGGCGCTGCAGCCCAACAGAGTAGGAAAAACCTGTTCACTCGTCTTGTCTTCCTGACACTCATTGACTGGTTTGAGACAGGCGTGACAGGACGGCTAGCTAATGTAACCTCATGAGGAAATATTAAAAAATTGCATAAATTCTCAGTTTCACCGGTGTTACATGTAAGCCTCGCCGCTGCCGGTGTTTTGAACGTATCGTGCGGTTGCTCTGAAGTGTGTTTGTTGGTGTTATGCTGTCGTGAGTTGGCCAACAAGGTAAAGTTACAGTATGCTAACCTTAGCACGCTAACGGTACCGGTTAAAGTTAGTGGTACAGAGTTGTGACATGAATACGATGTAAAAATGTAAAAAGGTCAGAGGTTCGTGTAAAAGTGAAGTTTCTTATAATAGCGTCACCTAACACAATAAAGACAATACAGATAAATATGGCGTTAGATTAAGTTCAGATATAGTGAATCCCCTTGAGAAATCAGTCTAATGACATAAGTGTTTTCTCACTGGGAATGTTGTTTATAGCTGACAGTCTTTATTAATGGGCCGATTGAAAAGAGCCACCGTTTTAAGTAACGTTACATTGTGTTGTTATTTGTTGCTCTTTTTTAAGAAGCTGTTGAACTTTGTCACAATGCGACGACTTTTAACACGAGTCATTAACCGAGTTCTGCTGAGCGAGCTGTTCACGCCTGCGATGGGCATTGAAGCAGAAATACACACACAAGGCCGGCGAAAGCTGGTAAGTGGAACCTCACCTCATCTACACTTTGTCCACTAAACTATAGCTCCATGAATAGTAAACATTAATCTGTACTGCTCCAGAAAATGAAACTTCAAACTAGCCATAACATTACCATGAAAGGCTACAGTAAATTGATAGATTTCAGAATAGAGTTTGGCTTGTTCTCTGTACTGCACCCTGTACTCTACTAGTGTAATGTGAGTGGTTTAGTGACATTTTGTCTAGTGATTCATCCCAGTGTGTCCAAGGAGCTTAGCCATAAAAATGGGTTTAATGGAGAAATAGGTATTGTTAATATCCTACAAGATATAAGTTTTATTTTCATTGTGACACAGTGAAGACAACCCTATGGTATTTCTGATTTCTTTTAATACACTTTTTTCATCTTTAATGTTGTTTGTCAGTTGACCTCCGCTGTGTTGACTTTTCACTCTCTCCTGTTCAAGTAAAAATCAATACAAGCTCAGTGTTGAGAGGCAGAAAAACACAATGTTTGCAGTGTGTCAGCAGCCAGAGAGCCCGAGTCTAATACAATGTAGTCTATAGTATTTCTGTTAACAGCGCTGTTGCTGCTGCCAATAGATCTGTACCATCCGTACAAGGCAGTTCAGTTTTTTTCTGTAGAAGCATTAGTCCATTTGTCATTCTCTAGTGTGTTTTTGAACCTTTAAATCATCTGATTAAAAGTTGTCAAACTTAATTTAACAATGGAGTTCTAAGGCACAGAGGAATAAGATCAATCAGGCTGTGGATGTACAGAAAATAGTCATAGTAGAATAAATTGATTTAATTTGGATCTTTGAGAGTTGTTGAAAATAAGAAGGATATTAAGGCAAATGTGATTATATAGCCTAATTCATACACTTAAGGCGATTTTAAAGTGCATTACGTGTATTTACTAGATAAAACATATAAATGAAATATTTAAAAACATGAGTAAAATATATATGTACAAAAAAGGAGACAGTCATAGGGATGACAAATATATAAATTAATAAATACAGGCGATAAACACAACATTAGACGGACACAGAGAATTATGGGGTTTGTAGTCTGTTCAAGACAGTCAGAATTGTGAATAAAGGATATCACCAGCCTTTTTCTTTTAATTTGTAATCCAAATCTAAGAATCAATCACAGGCTGCAACAAATCATCAAAATGACATATAAAAAAGCTGCTCCGCTACAGAACTGGCAGCCTTCAGTGTGGCAGATGTGTGTGTGTTTCAGGTGGTGGGGCTGGGTAACCCGGGGATGGAGAGTACCAGACACAGCGTTTGGCATGGCGGTGCTTGGCGCGCTCGCCTCCCGTCTTGGCGCGGATGACCGTTGGCGCAGCGACAAGCACGTGTCCGGTGAGGTCATCGTGTCAGAGGTACAACACACACATGTGGTGCTGCTCCGTCCCAGGCTGCTGATGAACGTCAACGGAGTGTCAGTGGCCAAAGCAGGTGAGGTAACGGCCTCTGTGCCTGTCAATAGGCGGATTTTGTGTCATGCAATATGTTTATTGTCTTTGTTTATTATTTTTGAATATGTATTTATGAACTGAGGTGAGCTCAGGAGCAAACTCTGCTTTCATATCCTGAGCTCTTTTTTTCCCTAATCTTTGTGTCCTGTCCTCCTCTGCGCGCTCTCACTAATTGGTTTTGTTAAAAGTGCTCTATAAACAAATTTCATTCCTTTGTCTGGCCGTCCGTCTCTTTCTCAGGCCCCTTTGCCATTTAATAAATTGCCTCTGTGGGACAAATAATTAAACAGAAATTAAATCAACAACAGCAAAGTGACACTGACGTCATACAGCGTGAGTCTATGTGTGTTTACACCAAAGCTGGGGGAGTTATAAATTAATTAAGAGTTTCCTGAAATGTGTTAATGTCAAATTCTGTACACACAGTAATATGTTCAGCTAAAGAAAGCAGTAGTAGCATTTAAAATAGTGTTGAAATAGTCATTACAGTCTCTGATTATGAGAGATTTAAAAATTGTTGTTAGATTGTTTTCATTTTTGTTAAATTAAGCAAAAATGCCCACTATTGGCCGGTTGCTGCTTTTTTTTTCTGCTTTTATATCCCTCTACATTTGAGGTGTGAACCGATTCCACATTGAATGTTTGATCTAAAGTATCTGTTTGTCCCGTCTAGCTGGTAAATATGGGATTAAGCCTGAAGACATCCTGCTGGTCCACGATGAACTGGACAAACCTCTGGGGAAAATTGCCATCAAACATGGAGGAAGTGCCAGGTCCGTTTCATTCATCATGTTCTTGTGGGTTGGCTCTAACTTAAGTAACTTCTCCATACTGCAGTTTTAAGGTCTGGGGAAAAGTAAAAGAAATGAATGTTACTCGAAAAAAGCTTTCAATAAATAACTTTATCCCATCAGTCTGAATGCTGGTGGATCTAGTGAGAAATAATAACCCAAATAAATGTTTTTCTTATTATGTGAATTGAGTGCAAAAATACACTGTAAGTTACAAACGTAAGAAAACTGGAAATTGTGGAATACTTAATGTAATATTTTTGAGTTTCAACTGTGTTTTAACATGACACTGAGAATGCAAAATTACTTTTCTTCTTCTTCCTAGAGGTCACAATGGAGTCCGCTCCTGTGTAGACTGTCTTCAGACTGATGTAAGTGACTGCTAACTCACACACTGCACACCTGTTCTTTAGCACTACCACTGCAGATTCTAGTCTGACTTTGTTTTACCTACATTCTTGTTTTTTTTTCTTGTTTTGTTGTGCCCTTGATAAAAACTTCTTTTTTCATATTATATCTGTATTTTGTCATATTAACAAAATCAAGCACAAAACATTAGACTGAAGGTAGATCATGTGACTCTCTCGTCTCTTCTGCAGGTGATGCCCAGACTTCGGGTTGGGATCGGCCGGCCGACAGGGAAAGCCTCTGTGGAGCGTCACGTCCTTGGCCGGTTCTCCTCAGAGGAGCAGAAGGTTCTGGACTCTGTTTTGGTCCAGAGCGTGGACCTCCTCCTCTCTGAACTCTCCCAGCAAGACTCCCAGTCCCCCTCCTCACCAGCAGGGGGCAGACCAGCAGCACAGAAGGAGGGAAGGCGCTCAGCCTCTCCAGCTGAGGACTCTGCTGCTGCTCAGAGCTGAAGCTCAAATTTTCTGATCTCAACTCTGTTTTTAAAAACAGAAGGAGAAAACATGAACCTTTACAGGCAGAGGATCTTGACTGAGACGGTATTTATTCTCTGCTGTGAATTAAAGGTGACATACATTTCTACAGAGCGTGACGTCGTCTCAGGAGCTGGGGTGTAACCACAAAAATAGGCCAGAATGTTCTAAAGGGATGGAGAACACGACCTCTAGCAGCAGATCTGCAACTAACTGTGCGTGTGAATGAATTTTTTAAAAGTCGTTTACACTATCAAATGGGACATATCAAATAATAATGACTGTTCACTAACACAAGTTGCCAGTCTGAACGGCATTGATCAGTATTGATTACTACCACCAAGGAGTGTTGTGTTTTTACTCATATTTGACTGATTGTTCGCTGCCTCTGATTCCTCAAAAACCTGAGAACAGGTTTCAGTAAGATGTGGTGTAACGTTGGTGTAACATTGCAAATGTGACACTTTTGAAATGTGTTGCTATTTTCTGATGAAATACTGAACACGAATGCAAGAAACAATTATCATGTACATGAATCCAGTGGCTGTCTGTCATACTGTTTTATTTTGTAGGTTAAAGATTATTCTGATTAATATAACAAAGCAAAAGGACTGTGAAGCCTTGGTGGAGACAGTGGAGCCCAGCTGATTGCTTTTAGGACAAATCTGTAGCAATAAAATTGCCATATAAAGCTAACTTGTCCGCTCTGGTTGTGTTGAACGTTGCCAAGGAGTAAAACTTCCAGCCCTGCTGTCAGACGTACGCAGAGAAAAACATAACAGATTGTTGTTATTGTCATCATATTCTCTGATACCCATGTTTCTATGATAAGCTGCTATCAGCTGATACATCGACACCAACACAGCACTGACTTGCTAACACAGTGGCCTCTCACCAGGTGGCCTTTTGTAAACACACACTTTTAACTGTATTTCAGTTTTTATTACATTTAAATCTGGAATGAATGTTTGTCAGGTTGATTCTCTACTTGAAGATAGTCCTCTTAACAGAAGCTGGACATGAGTGCTATTTTGTTTCAGTACCTCATATTTTGGCATGGTGCATTTTATCATTTACTGTGAGTACAGATGTAGTCAGGAGGTCTAAACTGGGCCTACAAATGAAAATACCATTTGTCTGTACTGTATGAGATGCTCTGCTGGAGTGTGAGCACTATACGTGTCTTATTTGATTGCATTGCATTTAAGGTTAATAGACTAACAAGAAGTATTCTGCCCAGTCGTGCAGTTCTAACAAATCCAGAGTCAAGAATTTAACTGGAAAGAAACAAAAAAAACCTTTTCTTGAAGCTCATTTCTCCTCTTTTGTATCTAAAAGAGAAAGCGAGCCTCTTCATGCTGCTGTCACACGAACATATGGTCCTCCTCACATGCGGCTCTCTTCCATCTTGTCCTCCCTGATGTGGCTGTTCTGGCTAAAAACATATTGATTTCCCCTTCCGATTGTCACACTAATTACGCTGTTCATCAATTAGGTGTCTTTAATGAGTTGCATCCAGTCAAGACGCGCACTGCGTTCTCACACTACAGAGAATGCCAGAGGAGGGAGAGTTCGGCGGGGGGAGGTGGTAGACAAAAAAGCCAGAAAAGAGCATATAAAACAGCGGAAAGAGGCCGACGAGCTGCTGAATGAGGGAAATCAATACAAAGGAGGCCAGTAGATTGCGATGGAGGGCTGAAGAAGAAAGCCAGGCGAGAAACAAAAGGGGCCAAACATTGTTTAGACCCGGTTTGTTTGAGGCCTTCTGTCCTGCTGTAGCTCAGAGTCACAATAGCTGCAGGGACACACTCGTGGATATGGGGGGTGTGGGGGGTCTCAAAGGAAACTTCTTCACTCTGACATCCCCCACCACACACAAACACACATACCCTGAACACCCCTCACCCTCCTAAAAACCCCCCGTCTTTCTCTGCTGTGACCCTGTTGAGCCACCCTTCGCTTCCATCAGGCCACTTTCCCAGCCCCTCCTCGCTGGTCAGCTTTAGGAGGCTTCACCGGCGGCTTCAATAACTTCTTCTGCAGGGGTCAGAGGTCAGCAGTGGGGCTGGACACCTGGGCCTTTAGAAGAAACCCTAAATGTATTCAGGAATGGGACCCCCAACCTCCCCCCATGCTCTATGGCCAAGCATAGCTGGGCTAACATTGGCCTGGTGGGGGGTCTTCCCACGTATGTGCTAACTCAGCAGGAACACAGAATAAGCCTACTGACTCCACTGATGCTGGGAAGGCTAATTAAGAAGAGTCACATTTATGGGACTTACGCACATTTACACTCTTAAAACCATCCAATCCAATTTTTTTTTTACTCATGCTGGTGGCATGGCTGTGTGGATGGCAATGTCAGCCGGTCGGTTTATGGTCCCCGCCGACCTGCCTACTGACTTTGCTAATAGTGCCACCATGAAGTGGACATTTGTGCGTTGAAATTTCATCATCAAACTTACGACCAAACACTTGTACCTGACTCAGTTGCACTTTTATTGTGTTTACTGCTAATTGCCAATGTTAGCATGCTAAGACTCCGGATGGTAAACATTATTAAAAAGAAGCTAAACATCAGCATGTTGGTTAGCATTAGTATTCACCTCACTGCACCACTTTGCTTAGAACAGTGTCACAGAGCGGTTAAGATGTTGACTTGTTATATTAACACTAAAGCTGATGATACACAGAGCAACTTTCAGAGCAATTGTGCTGGGCAGCGTTGCCGTCAATGGTAATGAGTAAAGATTACTACAGTAATCCCCTTCCGCCACTACTCCGCCACCCGCCCCGCACCACCGCTATGCGTTCAAAACATAGTCGGACTCTTATCGGACATAGTCGGACTGCAATATTGCCCAGCATCATTGCTCAAAAAGTTGCCCCCGTGTATCATCAGCTAAAGTCAAATGTCTTTGTTATGTGAAAGAAGTGACTTTACATTGGTGAGAATTACTACCAACTCTGCAGCTATCGGGGAGACGGGGTATTATTGTAACACTTTTTTAGCTAGAGTTCTCAAATGTCTATGCAAAGTGCCCATATTTGTTTACTACAAATAGCACCAATTAAATCCTCTAACATTACAAGAATATGACATAAAATGTTTTGTGTTCCTTTTAGGGATGTCCCCGGGTAAGGATTTACATAGTCGAATCAGAATCGTCAAGTCATGCCATTCATGTGTGTTAAAGCTAAACTGAGGCTTATTGTTGACCATTTTCTCTCTCTCTCTCTCTCTCGCCTGCCATTCACCGGTCTTGTGCAGAGTTTTTGCCATGCTGCTGACAACTGCATGCACGTCACAGTTCCTTGCGGGTCTATTTCAAGTAGCGGCTGTTTAAAAAATGATAAAATATTCTTTGTGTGGTTCATCAACGGTGATAAATTATCCGAAAGTCCTGCAAGGTGCGGACAACTCGGCACAACACCAGTGAAGCTGAGGTTCTGTCTCTCCTGCCACTACACACATGCTACGCATACACATGCGCACTGACGACCCAGGGTTAGGTTTACAATTTTGGATTTATTCACGCACTTTAAAAACATTTATTGGAAGTTTTCTTTCTTTTTGCATGTTTATTTACACATTAAACATTTAAATGTATATTGTAATAGGCTGTGTATTAACTTATTGAGAGAAAACTGGTAGATCTATGTAAAATCAGACGTTGAGCACCCCCATATCGCCAAAATGGCATGATCCTTGTTTTGCAGCGAAGCTTAGACTGTGGGATTGACAGTCGTATCAGGCTCCGCCCATCGAAGCATCGAATCTTCGACTGTTGGGGGTCAGCCCTAGTTCCTTTGTTACACATGCTGGGGTAAGTTGTAACGATTAGACACAAGAAGCAAAAATGGATGAAAGAACAATGTCTCTCTGTCTCAGACTAACAGACTATGTCTGGTGACTCGTGTATGTATGTGTGTATGTAAATTTGTCTACTGGAACAATCTTAGGCCCCATCCACACTACTCCGTTTTTGAGTTTAAAAATGAACACGATCTTCGTCCACACCAGCGTCTTAGCTGCGTATCAGAGTTGATCTCACGCACATCTAGTGGTCGTTCATTTACACTGGGCATTTGCATGCCTTTGTAAATATGAAGCAGATGGTCTATTCTGTAGTTACAGAAGACACCAGATTTTATTTTGCATGGACCAATAATGAGCTGGGACTGTTACTGAATGTAACACAGGAGTTAAAAGCGGCTGTGGTGGCGGAAAACAGTCTGGGAGTTGTCGCAAAGCAAACAGCAACATGCACGGTACAAGTGTAGGCTATACGTCTTATTTGCACAGTACAAAATGTTTCAATAAAAATACCAAATCTGCAAAGCAGAAACACAATGCTACTGACCCAATCAGAGAGCCTAACGTGAGCCTCTGCATCCTTTCATTTCATTTTGCAGCGATTTTTCAGACTTCTCCATTTTAGGTCTACATTTTTGCCGTTTTAGTCTGGACGGAGGTGCAAACGCACTTATACATTCTATTTGGTGTACCGGGACTTTTTCTTGCACACTGGCCCTTCTCACAAGCTGCCGGTACTCTTCTCTGCCCTCTCCATCGGCGGAGATTAGGTAGGGAGATCGGGTGCCGAAACACACGCTAACATGTGAACAACATGTGAATGGGAAGCACTGGTCACAGTGCTGACAAATGAATGCTGGTTACCCTGGAGCTCAGGCTTGGTTGGCCGAGATTGCAAAGGGCACTCTGGAAATATATTAAAATCAATAAAGTCCTTAGTTGTATGTATACAACTGTAAACAATTTAGCGTTTAGCTAGCTGTATTAGCATTGAGGTTTGAAATTAGCAGAGGGAAAATGCATTACATGTTGTCTTAGAAACTACATTTTAAACTAATACAAGTCATACAGTTTTATCTGCAATAGTATACATACTGAACAAAATATAGTCTTGGTCAAGAAATTTACTTTCTGACCTCAAAATGAGTTTTTTCTCCATGTATTCTGAATATGCCGATCACCATGCCTGACTGGGGAGAAATTATCACATGACTCCTATCTTATCTGTAATTGGTGGAATTAGTGTTGTTACAACTCTCCCCACGTTACAACCATACCCAGTCTCCCCTTCTGTTAGCTCATATTTTTGGTTTTACAGCATGTTTACTCCATGATTCAATGTTTCCAGCAGCAGCAGCAGGCAGCTGCTTTCAGTAGTAACAGAAAACAGTGTACACCACATCCCCAGCACCAAATGGCAGATAGACAAAGTTAGTGGTTAGTTACTGGTTTTCCTCGTTCCATATGGCACTGGTTACCGGCCCTGGCAACCTGTTGCACCACCAACCTGCTGCAGAGGCATGTGGTGTTAGAGGTGTCAACATGCATGATTGTATCCAGCGTCTGAGGAGTTTGAAGTGTAGCCTTTTTACTGTAGACATCACTGGTTCCCAAACTGTAGTTCGCACCAGTAGGGGCCCCAAGTGGTGTGTAGAGTAACAATGTTTTTAGACTGAATTACACTAAAGTGACAGTTTTGTTATACAAGTTTCACCATCTCCTCTGCCAACTGTTGGACTTTAGTCTGCTACCTGTCTTTAACATATGCTTTCAATGTATTTTCTATTTCTTGTACATTTACTGGACTCGGTGCCTTTCTCTTGTCGACAACTTTGCTAACACCCAAAATTGAAGCAAGTACAACAGCCCAAGCCATAGC